TCTGGCTAAATGGCCCAGGCTAGCTGTGAACTTAGATCCTCCCACCTCAGCCCCTGAATAGCTGGTATTACAAATTGGCTCACTGCTCAGGTTCCTTTCATCCATTCTTTTTTTTTTTTTTTTTCTTTTGGTAGTGGGGATCGAACTTGGGTCCTTGTGCCTGCAAGGCAGGCGGCGGAACCACTGAGCTAAATCCCTGGCTCATCCATTGTTGTATTCCTTTTGCCTGTTTAGGTTCAGACTATCATGGATCAATCTCGCTCTGTCCCCCTCCTGCCATCCTGGTTCTCTACTTCCCTGTTTCTTTTTTATATTTTATTTGCAGTGCTAGGGATTCAACCTAGGGCCTTGCAGATGCTGGATGAGTGCCCTACCAGTGAGCCACATTTGACATAGTTTCAGGTTCCCAGCAAGACTGAGCAGAAGACCTGTGTACCCTTTGCCCTGTGCTTGCATTGTAGATTCCCTATTCCCAGCACGCCTGGCAGAAGGGAACGTCTGTTAAAAGTGCTCGGCACACAGTCACTGGAGTCCAATTCATACAGGTGTCTGCTCGGTGTCACGTATTGTGTGGGTCTGAGTAAATGTGGGCTGATGTGTATCTGCCATGCCAGAGTGCACAGGGCACATCTGCTGCCCTGAGAGTCCTCAGGACTCCACCTGCTCAGCCTCTCCTCGCCTGACACCTGGCAGCCACTGCTTTCCTACTGTCTGTGTGGTTTTGCCTTTGCTAGAATGTTGTATGATTGGAGTCATAGAGTACACAGTCTTTTCAGAAGGCTTCTTTCACTTCTATGCATTTAAATTCTTCATGTCTTTGTAGCTCATTTCTTTCTCTTTATTTATTGGTTTGCTTTTTGTTTGTTTTTTTGAGACAGAGTCTTGCTATGTAGTCCAGGCTGGTCTTGAATTCCTTATGTAGTCTAGGCTGGCCTCGAACTTGCAGCGATCCTTCTGCCTCAGCCTCCTGAGGGCTGAGATTACAGGCATGTGCCATCATTCCCAGCTCATTTCCTTTTAGCACTGCAGAATATTCCATTGTCTGGCTGTACTATAGTTTATCCATTCACCTATGGAAGTGCATCTTGGTTGCTTCCACACCTTGGCATTTATGAATAAACCTGTTGTAAATGTCTTTGTGCATGGATTTTTGCGGATGTTTTCAGCTCCTTTGGGTGAGTGCCAAATAGTATGATTACTGGATCATGTAAGGGTATATTTCGGTTTGCAAGAAACCACCCAGCTGTCTCCAGAGTAGCATTTTGCTTTCTCATCAGCAAAGAATGAGAATTTCTTTGTTCTCCATACTTGCCAAACTTTGATGTTGTCAGTGTGCTGGTCTGGGCACTGCAGTAGGTGTGCAGAGTGCCGTGTGTGCCGTAGAGTCTCACGTGTGGATCTGCTGCTGTGTCTCTTCTGTGGCGAGGTCTTTCTCAAGCTCTGCGGCTCGTGCTTTTCCTTCTCCTCCCCTCCCCTCCCTCTGGTTCATTCTTAAATTGGGGTTGTTTTCTTGTGAGTTTTACTTCTTTCGGTACTGGGGATTGAACTCAAGACCTTGCACTCGCCAGGCAGACACAGTGCCACTGAGCTAAATCCCCAGCCCTTTCTTGTGAGTTTTAAGAACTATTTTGGATAATACCCTTTATCAGATACATCTTTTGCAGGTATTTTCTCCTTTCCTTGTCATTTCATTCTCTTGACACTTTTGCAGAATTTTAATGAAATCCAGCTTTCTAATTTCTTTCATTGATCGTGCCTTTGGTGCTGGATTCAGAAAGTCACCCATTGCCAAATCCAGCTGTTATGGCTGTGTCTAGTGTCCCCCTAAAGCCTCATGTGGTCACAGGTGGGGCTTTTGCAGAGGTGGCTGGATCTGGAGCATGTGGTGCTGGGATCGAGGGTGTGTCCTACTAAATCAGTCCACTGACTGGTTTGGCAACGCCCTAATCCTGGTGGCCTAGATAGAGTATAAAAGGGACAGAAAGAAGCTGCTAAGGTCTCTTACTTGCTCTGCTACCTTCTCCCCACCATGAACCATTTCTCCCTTGCCCTGACACCTTGCCTTGGAGCCAGCTATTTATGGACTGAAACCTCTACAAAACTGTGAGCTTAACTTTGGGTGTGGATACTTTGTCTCAGCAATGAGAAAAGTGACTAAGACACCAGCATCATCTAGATTTTCTTTTGTGTGATCTTCTATGAATTTTTGTAGTTCTGTATTTTACATTTAGGTCTGTCACTTACTTGGAGTTAGTTTTTGTGAAAGGTGTATGGCCTGTGTTTAGATTTGTGTTTTCACATGTGGGTGTCCAGTTGTTCCAGCGCTATTAGTTGAAAGGATTGTTTTCTTCATTTTGTTATTTTTGCTTGTGGTCAAAGGTGGGTTTATTTCTTTTCTGTATTTTCTTTTTTTTCCTTGGGACAGGGTCTTGTTATGTAGCCCAGGCTGGCCTTGACCCCATGGCGATCCTCAGCCACCTGTGTGCTCGGTTTACGGGCAAGTGGCACCACACCTGGCAAATGGATCTGTTTCTGAACACTCTCTCCTTCCAGTAATCTGTCCGTCTATTCTTTGTTCTGCACACTTTGTGGATTTCTTTTTAAATTTCCACATAAAACTTGTAGTCCTTACATTTATTTATTTTTTTATTTTTTTTGGTACCAGGGATCAAACTCAGGACCTTGCCTTTGTGAGGCAGGCAGCGGAACCACTGAGCTAAATCCCCGGCCCTTGCCCTTACATTTGTTAAGCTTAACCTTTCATACAATTTCCTGTTCTTTTGCTGCAATAATTCCTGCTTTTATTCTAAGAATTATGATGAGGTGAGTTAGAAATTTTTTCCTATACCTTAGATTAGGCCATGAAGGATAATACTATTTAAACTATTGGTCATGAAAAAAAAAAATACTGATGGGGAATCACAGTGTTTTAGGAACAATTTAAAACAAACAGTGATGTCAGAGTGCTATTTTCCACTGTAATTCCTTCCTGTGAAGAAATCTAGATGTGGCTTTTGTAAAGATGAGTACGTTAGAGTGGGGTAGCAGCAACGTGAGTCTTCCTGTTTAATCTCCATATAAATTATGCTTTACACTGAAGCTGGAGAAGTGACAGTGGGCCAGTTTGCACTGGGGCAGAGCTTAAGCTCCATCGTGTCCTGAGCACATAGGCTTCTCACTTTATTGTAGCTGTGCCACATTACATAATTGCAGGAAACCTAATGGAGGCATTTAGGGTTGGTTTTCTAGGAGGATGTGCTCTGACAAGAAGCAGACTTTGGGGAAGAGCAAAGGCAGGTGTGCTCTGGGGTGGGAATGTACCAGGTCATGTGGGTCGGGCTGCACCGAATGCCTTTGTGTTGTGGGTACCCGGGAGGGTTGTGCCGCTGAGAAGGAGTGGGTGTAGTGTGGGTGATGGTGATCACACTGTCAGGGTCTCTCCTGGCATGGCTGTGCCATTGGTTTTGTTTCTGTAGATGACATATCATACCTTCAGTTTGTCTTTCCTTGAACTATGTAATGTCCTATCATACTAGAATGCATATTCCAAGACCCTTTTCCTTAGGTTTGAAACTAGTATGTGTCCAGTGCAAAAATCTGGACATTTTCTATCAGATAAAATTAATGACTTAAAAATATCCACTGGACTTTGAAATCTCATGAAAAAAGAATGTTAACTGGGCTGGGGATTTAGCTCAGTGGTACCTGCGCCTGCCTCGAAAATGCAAGGTCCTGAGTTCGATCCCCAGTACCAAAAAAAAAAAAAGAATATTTACTATCTCAGAAATTTAAATATATCAGTTCCATGTTAAATGATGTTATTTTGGATATATTCGGTTAAGTTAATATGTTATTAAAATTAATTTAACCCGGTTTTTTTTCACATCTTTAATGTGGTTATTAGAAAATGTAAATTTACATATGGCATTTTATTTCTGTTGGACAGTGCCAATCAAAAGTAGTCTCATCATTAGGTGATTAGGACCTGGATTAAGGTAATATTTATAGAAAAGAAAGGAGTGGTGTTTAAGAGATTATGCATATACACTGCATAATCTCTATTGTGTTACAGGATATTTTATAATTTTTGTGTGCTTCCATTCTCCTTTGTAATCAATAATAAACTTTTTGAAGGCAAGGACTGTGTTACTTTTTAAACTTATATTCTGCTTCGTATCTTGTCCTTTGCTATATTCATAGGAAGTTGATTGAACAAACTAGTTAATAGGATATGATACCATATACTTATACACTCAAGTTTGAATTTTTATAATGTAACAACAACAGCTTATTTATTTATTTATTTTTGGTACTGGGGATTGAACTCAGGACCTTGCGCTTGCAAGGCAGGCTCGGTGCCACTGAGCTAAATCCCCAGGCCGTGAATTTTTATAATGTAGATAAGTGACTCCCAGAGTTCTTACTCCCTATAGTTTGATATCACAATTTCACTGGCCAACGACATTGGTCACATTCTTACAAAGGGCAAAGGAGAGGGAACTGACATTTACCCATTCTCTACCGGGTCATTCTTTGCCTTTTGTTACTTATTCCTTGTAGTAATCCTAGGAGGAAGGTTATCAGCCATCATTTTACAAGGTGAAGCAACTGGTGTTGAGTATTTTTCCCAGTGTTATGTTACTGATACAGGTAAAGCCCAATTTCAAAAGTAGCACTTTCTCACTATAGTTCTTGTTCAACTGAAGGTAGCCAATTAATTAAGTGATTCGGACTTAGTGTCATATTTTAGTTGACATGAAATATATGAAAGTAGTCATTAACGTGAAATGTCCAATGATAAATTTTGACATTATTTCTCCTATATTCAATAACAGTGGAAATTTAGAAATGTTCCTCAAAACCTGAGAGGAAAAAGAAAAGGCATATTTCTTTTCTCATTTTGATTCCTTTGTGCATTGCAGTTCCAGAAATTTAACTATAGTCCATGGAGAAAAATTAAGATCTTAATAATTTTAAATATTTTCTTTGTCATCTTTCAGATAAAATCAAAGACAAAATTAAAGAGAGAGACAAAGAAAAAGAGAGAGAAAAAAAGAAGCATAAAGTAATGAGTGAGATCAAGAAAGAAAATGGAGAAGTAAAGATTTTGCTGAAGAGTAAGTCCATATTCAGTGATTTTTTGTTTACTAGGTGCCGGCTTTTGCTGAGGATAAATACTGATGGTAAGGAAATGAAAAGCAAATGTATTATTGGGGCATTCCAGTCTGCACAGTGATGTGTATAGTACCCTATGTTTGTTTGCAATAGTTAGAAAGTGTTTTTTTTTTTTTTTTTAGCACGGGAATCGAACTCGGGACCTTGCGCTTGCGAGGCAGGCGCTGGAACCACTGAGCTAAATCCCCAGCCCAGTAGTTAGAAAGTTTAAAGGTTAAACTTTAACTTATTTTAAAATAGGTTATCTTAGTTAATAATTGTTTTCATTATTAGTGTGTGTTTATGTCTAGGTAATCTGTAAGACTAAAGCCATTTTCAGCATGATACAGGTGGGATAAGAATTGATCTTCTGCCAGGCATGGTGGTGCACACCTGTGATCCCAGCACTGGGAGGCTGAGGGAGGAGGATCACTGAGAGTTCAGGGACAGCTTGGGCTAATAGGGAGTTCAAGGCCGACCTGAGCTACAAAAAAGGGGAGGACTCTTCTTACAAATATTTCATAGCCTGGAATTAAGAGGGAACATTTTACTCTGAGTTTAATTCTAAGGGGGTATTCTTCCTGTATGTGTTTTGCATGATTAAGAACATTGTCTTTTTGTCTCCTGTTTTTCTCAGTTGTTACAGTTATATTCAGTTACTGTTCTTTACATGTGTGTGGATGGAGAGAAGAATTTGGGGAATAGGTAGTTGGATAATAAATGAAATATAGCAGGGGATTTAGCTCAGTGGTTCTGGTGCCTACATTGTAAGCACAAGGTCCCGAGTTCAATCCTGAGTACCAAAAAAAAGAGAAAGAAATATAAATCCTATGAATAAATCAGAACTTTTTTGGAATTTATACAAGAATGGAAAGGACATTCTTACATTCACTGAGATAACAAGATAAGAAGAAGGCTGTTCTATCCAGGTGGCAGTTGCTGATCAGAACACATTGGCCTTGATTAATTTCATATCGCACTTGTGTGTTGGTAAGGCTTTAGCTCTACCTGGGGGGAAGCCTATAGCACGGCATGTGGCTAACTTACATTATTTTCACCTCATTGATTGTCATATTTACAGATGCTCTTTGGTGGCACTTTATACGAGCTCTGTGTTCTATTTTTTGATACGGGGGATCGAACTCGGGACCTTGCATTTGTGATGCAGGCGGCACCACTGAGCTACATCCCTGGCCCTGTGTTCTGTCTGTTTTCTGTGGGCTGGGGATGTAGTTCAGTGGTAGCGGGCTTGCTAAGTGTGTGTGAGATCTTCAAGTCAATCCCCAGTACTGGAAAAAAAATTTAAAAATTTTCTATAATGTCCTTTCACTTTGAGGAAGTGTGTCAGAGCTTAAGTTGGGGGCTTTTTAGTTAATGCTCTTGATCCTTTTGTTCTGTTTCTTTTGCCAGTGTGTCTTATCTGTGTTGTCTAATTAGATTGTCACCCTTTGAGGCAGGAATAGAATCTAACCTCACTGGTGCTATAGGCCTCAAAGGGTTAATGTTTAAAGTGTTTACATAACTTTATCCTGTTGTTTGAGTCAAATACTAGTTTTTTTTTTAACTGGTTTAGTCAAAAGCTGTTTTCTTACTCATTTGAGTTTACAGTGGTATAAATTTCTGCTTGAGAAGGAATCTGTGTTCTAGAAATACTTTATAAAAGCTTATGTTTTTAGTTGAATGCTAGATTCCTAATGTTATTAAGGAGAATTATGTAAATCTACAGATTACTGTGTACATGCAAGTAAAATTAAAATAACCTAAAAATTGAAATTTCCTTGGAATATGCATTACTCTTGACTTTGAAGTAATATTTAGGAGGTTACGTGTACAACCCCCCCCCCCCCCCATATCGGGGATTGAACTCAGGACCTTGTACTTGCACGGCAGGCGCTGGAACCACTGAGCTAAATCCCTGGGCCCTGGGAGGTATTTTGACCTGAGCTAATGTGAAAATAGTGATAATAAAGGAAAAAAATTGAGAGAGATTTGGAGATTGATTTGTGACTTCTAGGATGACCATGGGAAAATTTGGGGGAGATGTGGGTGCTGCACCGTGGAGCTGAGTGGTAATGCAGCTGCTGCCGCAGTGTTGTGAAGAGGATAGGAACGGAGTGTACTACACTAAGTACCAGGTGTAAGTGAATGTCAATCTTGTAAACAGGTTCCAACCTTTAACTTTTTTTTTTTTGGTAGGGTGTGTGTGTGTGGGGGGATGAACTCAGGTCCTTGTGCGCTTGCTAGTGAGGCAGGAATCCTAGGCCCCCAACCATTAACTTTTGTGATGCAAAAGAAAATCTATCTCCTCCCTTTAGTGCACTAGCTAAGGCCATTCATTTGGAAAACAGTGCCTTGGTCTCACTGTGAGCCCGAGGCCTGTTAGCTGTTGTTATTATCCAGCAGAAACTCCGTCCATTTGTGTGGCCCACCCAGGTGGACCGCCCCCTCCCCGGGGTGGGGGTGGGGCAGCACCCTCTCCTCCTGTGCTCCTGAGTGGCAGGTTGGCCACTTGCGCACTGCATTCTCTGCTGCGCCCCTGTGGCCTTGGCCGTTTCTGTGTCCTCTCCTTCCTATGATGCTGATACCGCAGGCTGAAAGACAAGCAGGCCTTGTGCGTGATTGTGAATGAAAAACAGATGCGGACCACGTTCCACACTGATCTCATTTCCTTCAAGGTTTTGCTAAAAGCTGTGTCACTTTTTAGATGACTAGAGATATGTATACAACTCTGTGTAAGCTAAAACATTTTTTAATGCAAAAGTTTTAAATTTTTAAATGTTATCCTTGGAGGGCCGGGGATTTAGCTCGGTGGTTCTGCTGCCTGCCTTGCAAGCGCAAGGTTCCGAGTGCGATCCCCGGTACTAAGAAAAAAAATGTTATCCTTGGAAAATGTGATTATTTGCTTTTAGAGATAGATTAAAGGAGCAGATAAATTTGAAACGTAAGATTATTTAGTGGTTTCCATCCTTTTATACTAAGGTCCATCTGAGCATATGTCTATATGTGTTCCATTTTTATGTGGTTTAATATGTTGTAAAGACATATGTGGTATGGTTTTTGAGAGTGAATTTTACCATTTTAGCCTGTCAGAGAAGCTTGCACTGCAGAGGTGGAATGGGGGTTAACATAAGCTGAGGTCAAAGGTGACTGCCGGTGATGGGTAGGCAAATCACAGCAGTGCCCTGTGAAAACTGGAGTCTCCTGGAGACCAAAGATTGAAAACTGATTACTACTTTGTTTTCTAGATATGATAATGGAATTGTGTATTATTTCCTATGTCAGATACGAAGTAAGGTCTAGTTTTTCTAGGTAACCTTTATTTGTTACTTTATTAACACAGAAAGTACCCTAATGGTATCCGTGGAAATTAGTCTCAGCAGAGTTTGGATTTTTAAGGTGATTTTTTTCATGATTGGTCTCGGAAACTGTCTGTGGCTCCTGTCTCTCTGAGTCCACCCGCTGGCCAACTATGTCTGCGTCTCTCCCTTCTGCTTCCCTGGCTCTCAGTTTGGCTGGGGCTCTCTGGGTGGTTTCTGTGTGAGGCTCTGCGTGTGTGTGCGTGCATGTGCATGTGTACATGTACGTGTACACTGTGGTCACATCTGACATTTTTAGGGTTCAGATTACTTAGCAACTTCATTCTGTTATAAATATTTAACATAGTCTTTTAATGGTCTGGTTTATTAGGCTCTATTCAAAGAATTATAGATTTTGAGCAATCAGTACTTTAGGTACTTTTTAGTATAAGAGAAGGGCATTAATATTCAGATGGATGGGCTGGGGATTGTTCAGGAAATAGCAATATAGGCATGAAACACTATAAGTAACTCAAGGTCTCCTATGTTATTTAACCCCAGTTCTTTATATAATCTAACACCTGGCCCAGCAGTTGTTTTGAATTCAGAGCTCTGAGAAGCATGCGACCCCGGTCTCAAAGACTAAGGCCAGGTAGACAACAGCTTGACTCATTGGAAGCTCCAACCCTAGGAGAACACAGCGCCTGCCTGGCAAGTGTGAGGTCCTGAGTTCGATCCCCAGTACCAAAGAAAGAAAAAAAAATTTAGATGGTCTTATTAAAGTATCTGACCTTTTGTACATAAGCATCTAATGCATTTCGTATGTACAGACAGGAGCTGGGTGAGAGATTATGTAAAGCTCTTGACGTCTGTCTAGTGAGCCCTTAGTGCCTCAGTTCCATCTCAGCTGTGTTCCCTCGGGCTCCCCAAGACTGCTCTCAGGTTCTGTGATTACTCAGCCTGTGGTTGTACTCAGAGCTATGGTTTGTTAGAGTGGAAGACAACGTAAAATCAGAACAGAGCCGTGCACTGGGCAGTGTGCGAGGAGGCTCGGCACACACTGCCCAGAGCCCGTGGCAGTGGAGTCGCAGGAATGCTGCGCTGTGACAGCGTCAGAGAAGAGTCCAAGACCTGGCCCAGGGTCTCCTTGGTTGGTCCGTGGACGCCCTCTGCCCAGCACTGAGCGATGCTGCAGACCCGGAGGCGAGCGTGGCCGGGCGTGCACCGTGTGGTTTGTGGAGCGCTCGGGGCACGGGGAAGCTGTGTCGCGGGGCGCGCTCAGAGCCTCTGGGGCCAGCCGGGGCCCAGCCCAGGACCTCTGCACCTGGTGTTGCCCGTGTGCTCGGCGTGTGACTGTGGGCCGTGGGCCGTGGGCCGTGGGCCGTGGGCATTGAGCTCTGGGGAGGTCGGATGCTCAGCGGAAGAAGCTCTTCCCTGACTTCTTGTTACTTTGCATTTTGTAGTTTCTGGGTCATGCCCCTGAGTCGAAATAAGTGTTGCTATTTTATTTCAAAGAAATCATGTGCTCTGCAGCTGGATATTTTCTAATTTAGCTTTTAAAAAAAAGTGTGTTGGGTATGAATATAGAAAGATATTAAGCATTTTTATTCAAATGAGGCTTTATGTATTTTGGCAAATTTACATAATTTAATTTATGCAATTTTATGTATTTTATGATTTAGGAACACTTTTAATCATACTTATGCTCTTTAAATTTTTTACAATTCCATGTTTTATTCAACTGTTATCTTTTTTCTTAATTTATTTGAATTTTGCATACATGTGTGAACCTCTGTCATTTATCATTTTGGTTAGTCCATTCTTTATTTTTTAATTTTGTTCTTAAGATACTGATCTGAATCCAATATTTTGATATAACTGTGAATTGATATAAATATTTATATATCCCTATTATATTATATATAAGTATGCTTATTCAAATATGTTTCTCAACTATGTATAGGTAGACTCTTTAAAGAATTAACATTTTGATTTTTATGACTTTACAAACATATGTAGTGTTGACAGATTTTCTTTTTCTTTTCTTTTGGTGATACCAAGGATTGAACCCAAGGCCTTCACACTGAACTCTATTACCAGCCCTTTTTCATTTTTCGTTTTTGTTTTGTTTTGTCTTGCTTTTGAGACAGGGTCTTGCTTCAGGCTGGCCCTGAGCTCACTGTGTAGCTGAGGCTGGGCTCACACTTGCAGTGATCCTTCTGCCTCAGCCTCCTGAATGCTGGAATGACAGATGTGCACCAGTACATCTAGCTTATTTTAAATTTTGAGACAAGATCTCGCTAAGTCACTGAGTTCCCCAGACTGGGCTAGAACTTGAAATCTTCCTGCTTCAGCTTCCTAAGAGTGCTGTGATTATAGGCATGCACCATCATTCCTGGCTGGATTTCTACTTTTGTTTTTCATGATATTGGTTTTGTTCTTCATTGCATACCTATGGATTCATCTCTTCCATGAGTTTTTAGGAGTGACAGTTTGTAACATTAAACTTCCCTTTCATGGTCTTGCTATGTAAACATTCATTCATCTCATTGCTTTTGTAAACCCTGATTGAGTATCTGCTGTGTGTCAGAATGGTAGCCTGCACCATCAGGTGTAACTTGGTCCTCAGCCTTCCTGTGTGTGTGTGTGTGTGTGTGTGTGTGTGTGTGTGTGTGTGCGCGCGCGCGCGCAGAGAGAGAATTGACTGGATTTTGTTTAGTTATTGATACTGTTTAAGGCCTGAATAGAAAACTAATTCTGAGTAAATTTTCAGAAGTATCAGAAGTAAACATATATTACAAAACAATTCCTAAAGCATAGGTTTTTTAATTTTTAAATTTTTAATTTTTTTGGTACCGGGGATTGAACTTGGGTCCTTGGCTTGCGAGGCAGGCAGTGGAACCCCTGAGCTAAATCCCTGGCCCTAGGTTTTTTTAAACTAATGAAAAAATATGATGTTTCAAAAAAATTTTTTCCTAACAGGTGGGAAGGAGAAACCAAAAACAAATGTAGAAGACTTACAAATTAAAAAGGTAAAGAAGAAAAAGAAAAAGAAACACAAAGAGAATGAGAAACGGAAGCGCCCGAAAATGTACAGCAAGTCCATTCAGACCATCTGCTCAGGACTGCTGTCTGACATTGGAGAGGAAGCAGCCGAAGGCGTCCTCAGTGATAACGTGAAGGATTACACGGGCAAGACCTCGGACACCAAGAACTATGACTCCAGAATTCCAGAGAACAGCGAGTTTCCGTTTGTCTCCTTGAAGGAACCCCGAGTTGAGAAAACTCTCCGGAGGCTGGACATGCTGGAGTTCAGACAGCTCATCCACATCGAGCACCAACCCAACGGGGGCGCCTCGGTCGTCCACGCCTACAGCAGCGAGCTGTCCCACCTGTCTCCCGTGGAGATGGAGAGGTTTGCCGAGGAGTTTGTGGGCTTGGTATTCAGCGAGAACGAGAGCTCGGCAGCTTTCTATGTGATGGGGATTGTTCATGGGGCAGCCACTTACCTGCCTGACTTTTTAGACTACTTTTCATTTAACTTTCCCAATTCACCTGTGAAAATGGAGATAATGGGAAAGAAAGACATAGAGACAACAACTATGTCCAATTTTCATGCTCAGGTAAGAGGCTTTTAAAAGTAACTTTCAATTGTATGTTTTAGACATCTGTTCTTAGTTTTGCTGAAGGCTTGAAATAAACAGGTAAGAATATAATGAAGTCATTTGGGAGTCTTAAGAGTTCTTCCTTTTTTTTGTTTGTACTGGGGATCGAACTGGGGAATTTGCACTTGTGAGGCAGGCGGTGGCACTACTGAGCTAAATCCCTGGGCCAAGAGTTCTTTCTTGATGTGAACATCAGAGTTTAAATCTCACTTTGTACTTGCCTTTTTCTTCCCCTAAAATAATTAGTGAAATAAGATTCTTTTGTATTTTCCCAGTAAAGATTTATCTCGGGCCTAATGAAATGAATTTAAGCATGTATTTTTCAGGGTTTTTGGTTTGTTTGTGTTTTTGAGACAGGGTCTCACTATGTAGCTCAGGCTGGCCTTGAACTCACGGTAATCCTCCTGCACCAGCCTCCTGAGTGCTAAGACTACAGGTGTGCGCCACCATACCAGGCTTCAGTTCTTAAAATAGTTTTCTTACTGAAATCGTCTTCTTTATAGTGCCTTCAAAGTGCTTAGTACTGGGTCTGTCACATAGCCTGCTGAATAAATGTTAGCTGTTAAATATATTTTGTACACCTGCTGTGTAATTGTGTGAGAAAATTAGTGCATATATTGGGCTAATTTTCTATTTCCTACCCTTCTTTACAGTGTAGAACATACATTATCCAGGAGGCGAGAAGAACTGAGTTCACTGGTTCTTGAAAGTGACTGTGGGCCTTTCTGAAAAGCAGTTCTGTTGTCCCCCGCCGCACGATTCTGTTCTGCTAGGCTAGGTGATTGGCCCATTCTCACCTTCTTTGGCTTTCTAGGAGCAGTAATAATTGGTAACATTCTAGTTTAGGAGGAGGAAGGCATGAAAGTGTCAGAGCGCCGTGGTGCACGTTTACCCGGCCACTGTGTGTGCACAGATGGGCTGATGGACACACGGAGAGGGCCTGTGTGCTCCGGGTGCCGGCGGTGCCAAGCAGAGCAGCCCCTCCTCGCCAGGGCTCCTTCCTTCCTCTCAGTCTGTCCCTGTAGTTGATGAATATTCTGGACAGAGTCTCCGTCTAAACCACACGCACCAACCCCTACCTCAGCCATGTGCTCAGGCAGAGTCTGGAAAATATGCAGTGTTTACAGTTTCAGTGTGTGGGGGGTGTCACTCTCTAGCGAGACCCATTTGAGAACTGGAAGTTAAATATTTCTGTATAGTGCAGAGGGAGCTAGAGAGCATCCATTACCAGCAAAGTCCATTCCCAGTGGTCAGTACCTGCACCGAGAGGAGAGCTGAGTTCAGTGGCAGAGCCAGGACTGGCACCGAATAGTAGGGGCTGCATTGAGTGCTGGGTGTGCTAAGTGTTCTGTTTGCAAAAACTCCTTCAATCTTTGTTACAGTTTAATTTTAGCAGTAAAGAAACAGGTGCAGCATGTGACAAATTAATTTTCTAACGCCTAGGGACTTTGAGTCCCTCTACTTGCCAGGGACTTTGCTCAAGTCCCTCTACTTGCTAAGTCCCCCACAATAATTTGTCACTTACTCTGTATCTGCCATGCCAGGTTTTATGCTGGGACTTTTCTCTCTCAGTCCCAGTTGTGTCCCCAGTGTCACAAGCTTCTTGGGTAAATGTCTGCCAATCCATCCATCCATCCATCTATCCATCCATCTATCTACCCACCCACTCACCTGTCCACCTACCCACCTACCCACCTACCATCCGTCTATCTCACAGAGGAAACTCTTAAGCAAGTGCATCCTGTGTGGCACCAGTCATGGCTCTGGCCCCTTATCTGTGGGATCTGCTACCCTGGTGAGGTAAGCATGTTAGCTGTCAGGGTTACTTTTGCTTCTTTGGCTATAGATTTAAAGGCAGGAACCTAAATGTACAGAGTCAATATTCTTTTATTATAAGGTCTTTTAGATCTTAATCTTCTGGTGTGGAGGAGAATACCTAGTGAACCATTCATTTGGTATTTGATATTTTCTCCACATTGGTCTCATACTTTACTTGATTTTTTTTCTTTCCCCTCTTTATTCTAAGAGCTCAGAAGACTGAGGAAGTTGTTCTTTTCACACTGGCAGTGGGGTTTGCTTGACCTTATGCACTGACTTTATGAAGTGAACAGGATGCAGAAGATAGTAGTAGAAGAAAAAGGAGCATACTGGGGATTTAGCTCAGTGGTTCCACTGCCTGCCTCGCAAGCACAAGGTCCCAAGTTCGATCCCCGGTACCAAAAAAAGAAAAACCAAAAAAACAAAAAGCATACTTATTCAGCTTATTTCTATTTCTAGTCCCTTGATTCTTCCCAGTAGATGCTGTCTTTCTTAACCTAATTTGTGTTGTCCCTCTAAAAATTGATTTTTATTTACTAAGCCTTTATTGAAGTACTAATGGACACAGAGAAGTGCAAATTACACATATTTAGCTTGATGGATCTTCATAAGGTGAACACACCCACGATTTTAAAATCTAGTTGTTACTAGTAGCCAGAAGCCCTTCCCAAACCTCTTTTAGCACTGCTCTGCTCATGGATCAACTCTTGCACGTAAACACTGGGTAATTCCTCTATTGACTCCAAACACCACTGCTGTTTAATGGAATCAAATAGTAATGTAATTGTTCTGTCTGGTCTCTTTCCCTCAGAAGTGTGTTTGTAAGATTCATCCATCTTCTGGGTAGGAGTGTTCATTTTCTTATTACTGTATAGTATTCCATTATATGAATATTTCACAGTTTAATTACCTTGCTTACTGTAAAGGACATTTAAGTTGTTTCCTCTATGGAGCGGTCACAACAGGTGTGCTATGAATATTTTTATACTCATGTTTTGGTGAATGTATGTGTTTAAGTATGTAAGCTGAAGACAAAAAGCTGTGCAGATACTCAACTTTGATAAATTTATTGCCACTTTCACCAAGTTGTTATGCTAGGTTACATTCCCAGCAGCGTTGCTCTGTTATTTTTGGCCACACTTAGTAGTGTTTATCTTTGTCATGTAGCCATTCTGGTGACTGTGTGTCTCCCTGTCATTCCATTTTCCTCTTATGACTAAGGATGTCAACCACCTTTTTATATAATTATCGTCTGGTTCAGTATCTTCTTTTGTAAAGTATCTGGTCTACTCTTTTGCCTATTTTAAAAATTTGTTCCTTTTTTTCACTGTAACTTCTTTCTTTTGCTACCAGGGATTGAACTTGGGACCTTGCGCTTTTGAGGCAGGCGGCAGCACCACTGAGCTAAATCCCTGGCCCTCAGTGTAACTTCTTTATGTGTTATAGATAGGAATCTTTTTGTCAGCTAAATATATTACAAATATGTCCTCTAACTGGATGTCTTGCCTTGTTACTCTTAATAATGGCTTTTGATAATAGATTACATGTATATATAATCTCATTTATAATTTTCTCTTCATTTATAGTTAATGTATTTTGTGCTCTGTTTTTAGAAATCTTGATCTGCCCCCAAGCATTGATACATTCTTTGAAGTTTTTTCCCTGGAAACTTCTTCATGTTTAAATCTATAGTTCCTCCAGAACTGACTTCTGTATATAGTATGAGGTAAAGATCAAGGATCATGTTTTCCTATACTAAGTGTCCAGAGGACCTGGCGTCAGTTATAGAAACATCCACCCATTGCCCACTTCACTGCATTTTCATCTTCATTAGATTTTTTTTTGAGACAGGGTCTCACTATGCAGCTCAGGCTGGCCTTGAACTCATGGGGACCCTCCTGCCTCAGCCTGGCACGTGTTGGGCTCACAGCTGTGCATCACCGCACTTGGCCATTTTTGCCTTAATTAGAAATCAGTTGACCATATATGTATGGATCTGTTTCTGGGTTCCCTGATTCCATTGCTCTGCTTATCTTAATATAAATCTTGGTATCTGAATAAGTTTTATTGTTATTAAAGATTTCAGCTCTTTACATTTCCATTAATTGAGAATTGGCTTCTCAAACTCTACAGAAAAAAATCTCCTGGGATATTGATTGGTATTACCCTGAACCTATAGATAAGTTTTGGTAGCATTGATGTCTTTTTCATATTGAATCTTGTAGTCTGTAATTGTGGTATTTGCCTTTGTCTGTTTCTTTTCTTTTCTTTTTTTTTTTTTTTTGCGCCACAGGGGATTGAACTCACGACCTTGCACTTGCGAGGCAGGCATGGTGTCACTGAGTTAAATCCCTGGCTCCTATCTGTTTATTTTGTAGCAATGATATTTTCTGGTTTTAAGCCTAGAGGCCTTGCAAATGTTTTGTTAGATTTATTCCCCCATATTTAAAGACTTCATTTTGTTTTTTTTTTTTGTACTGGGGATCTAACTCAGGTCCTTGTGCTTATGCAGCTGGTGGTGAAAACTTCATTTTGTTAATCATCCTTCTTGTGAATTTGGAAGCTCTTAAAACTTCTTAGAATATTATTTTAACATTTATTTGAGAAATTATTATATTTACCATATTATTATATATAGAAATTATTATACTGTTATATTAACATTTATTTGAGAAATTAAAATATATTTTGTATCTCATTTCTCTTCCAACATCCTTGTTAACCTTATCTGTGGTATTAATCACGCACATGCTAATTATTTTGGAATGTCAGTAATTAGGTTATGTAAAATTTAGTAGAGACTAGCTGACCATTTGTGACTTCCTGTTTCTAGAATCATATAGTGAAACTGCAGTATTTTCCTGGCATCAAATGGATCAGACTGCATATTGATACATTAATTTGTGTTCACCAAAGGAATTGGCTGAGATGATAATATTAATTGAGCTAATGAGAGTTAGTATTCCTGGGGAAAGAGAGAAGGGGCCCAAATGGGAATGTAGTTCCCCTTGCTGTCAGCACGACAGCAGGTTGTGGGTGGTGAGCCAGGTAGTGTAGCGGTTGCTGGGCCGCTCAGGCTGCTCCGGCCACTGCTGAGCGCCGACTCCCTCTGGGATCCTGGTCCTTCCTCAGAGTGGGGA